ATTACTGAGCTTGGCGATGAATTTATCAATATTCATCTGTTAGAGAAGTCCTGGTGTGGCATTGTAGGATAAGCAATAGACTGTAAGACTAGTTTAAAGCTCAAGATCAGTGCTTGAAACTCACCAGCTGCTCCTCAGAAACCGTATGTAGGGCCATTGTGAGTCGGAACCTACTTGACAGAACTTAACAACAACAACAGAGGAACAATTAGAAGATGAAGAAGAAAAGAAAAAGACTAAGACATATGGTACACCATCAAGAGGATTAATTTATGTGTGATTGACATTCCAGAAGATTATAGACCAGAAAAACCATAGAGAAAATTGTCCAAATATTTTTTTAGAAGACAACTTCCCTAATATCATGAAAGTTAAGAAGACAGTCATACAAAAAGTTAAATGAACTCCAAATGGCATAGGCCCCTAAAGAAAAACACCAAGACATACTATAAATCAAACATTTCAAAACCAAAGACAAGGAAAAATTCCTGAGAGCAGTTTAGGCAAAATGAAAAGTTACCTAAAGAGGAGAACTAATAAGACTAAATTCTGATTTCTCAGCAGAAACCGTGCAGGCAAAAAGACAATGGGATAACATGTATGAAACTCTTAAAGAAGAAAAATTACCAGCCAACAATCAATCATATACTCAACAAAATTGTCCATCAAATATGATGGTAAAATTAGGACATTTCTAAATAAGCAGAAATTTAAAGAATTTTTAAAAAACAGATTAACCTTTTAAAAAGTATTAAAGCGAGTTCTTTGGACAGAGACCCAACAACAGCAGAAAACAACATGAGATTAACATACATGACAATTTCAACCACTATTTAATCCAGTTATAGAAGTATTCAAAGTAAAAAAAAAACAAAAAAAAAACTACGATTCTGAAAATAGGAAACCAGAGATACCAGTTTGCAACAACAACAAAAATAATAAAATAAAATTTAAAAAAGAAATAATGTAGTTATAGAACTTCCAAATGAAGAAGAAATCAAGTCGATTTCAAGAGTAAAATAAAATAAATGCAAGTAAACCTAACTGTAATCTTAAAACTAAACCAAGCCTTACTCCTAGCTACCCTTACCCCTACCACTAACTCTAATCCTAACCATAACCCTAACAAAAAGTAACAAAAAAGAATAAAAGAACAAAAAGCCCTAAAAAGATTTTTTAAAATTTTAATGCCTTAGGTTTTGACACTTTGACTACAAAGTTTTTATTTGGATTGTTTTGAGTTTATCTTACTTAGAGTTCATTGAGCTCTTTGAATTGGTAGATTGATGTCTTTATCTGAGAGCATTGGGCCATTTTTCTTCCTTTTTTTTTTTTTCTTCTGCCTCTTTCTCCTTTCTCTTTCTGGGACTCCTGTGATGTGTGTGTTCATATGTTTGGTGGTGTCCCAGAGGTCCCTCATGCTCTGTTCCATTTTCTTCATTCTTTTTTTCTGTTCCTCAGAACTAGATGAGGAACATCAAGTTCACTTAACCTTTCCTGCCTGGTCTAGTCTTGTAGGCAATTCCTCCAATGAATTCTTCCTTTCTTTTGATCTCCAGAATTTTTGTTTCTCTTTATAATTTCAATCTCTTTATTAATATTCTTGACTTTTTTCATGCATCATTTTCCTAATTTCCTTTAATTCTTGTCCATGTTTTCCTTTGACTCATTGAGCATATTTCAGACATTTGATTTAAAATCTTTGACTAGTAATTCCATGTTTGGACTTACTCTGGGATGATTTCTTTCCAATTCTTTTTTCCCTACAAATACGTTATAGTTTCCTGTTATACAATTTGTGTTGAGAACTAGATATGCTAAACATTGCACTGTGTAGTAGCTCAAAATCTGGCTCTTCATGTTTGCTGTTATTACCTGAGGAAGGCTGAAATGGTCTGTTTAGTGAGTTTTCCAAACAATTATTTGTAAAGTAAATATTTCAACTGTGTGTAGTAACTAACATTTATGTCTCATTTCTGTAGTTAGCCAGTAAACTGACATCGATTTCACAAAAAGAAATGTGTACTAGCCCAAATCTCAGCCACCAATGCACCTGTCTTTCAGGGTACTACCAGATGACCCAAAATGCACAACCCCAAATCCTTGGAGGACAGGGTCCCCAGTAGGAACCCATCCCCTCTACTAAAAGGGCTAAGATTGTTTCATATGTTGGCTTGGAAATGAAGTCTGTAGCCTCACTTGTTGTTGTTGTTGTTGTTGTTATGTGCCATGGCGTCAGTAGCCACACTATTGCATGCTATTTTACAAATGGATGATGAGAGAAGAAAGTGTTTGATGAAAGTGCTGCTCATGAGAATTACAGTGCTTTGCTTGACAGATAGCTAGTTGTATTGTTTTCTTTCTAACTGAATTGTTTTCTTTGCTTAACTACTTATGTCCTTCCAATCAGGTAAACCCTTCCATTTATCGGCAAATATTTCCTAAGCATTTGTTATGTGTCAGAATTTAGCTAGCATTAAAATTCTTTTGTTTTAGGTGAAAAATCTTGCACTTAATACCACTCAGGGATTAGTACTTCAAGTGTGCCCTCAGCCCATATATTCTGGGTGAGTTTTACCTGGATTGAATATTTCAGCATTTGGTTTGGACCAGACTATTTTAGCTTGTAATATGCATAACAGAATTTCCTAGAGGTTATCATAGTCCTCTCGTTTGTATTGTTTTGCCTTCTTTTTTTTTTTTTTTTTTTTTTTCTATATTTAATTTTAGGCCTTTCAGTAATAGAAAGTTGAATCCTGAGAAACAGTCAATTGTACACTATTTGAATAGTATTATACCTCCTGAAGTCCTGGTGTGGTACCGTAGGATAAGCGCAGGTTTGCAGGTTCGGTTTGAACTATAAGGTCGGTGGTTTAAACTCACCAGTCACTCTTGGAAACCCTATTTTGGGTCACTATGAGTCAGAACTAACTCGATGGCACTTCACAACAACAAAGCCTTTCACGTGTATTGATTGTTTCATGTGATTCTCACAATATTATTATGAGGTTTGTTGTTGTGAAGTGCTGTTGAGTCAGTTCCAACTCATAGCGACCCTAAATAGGGTTTCCAAGGAGTAGCTAGTGAGTTTGAACCACTGACCTTGCAGTTCAAACCAAGCTTGCAGTCCAGTGCTTAGCCTAAGCAGATGTTATTATATACAGATTCCTTTTTATTTTTTTTAATTGGTGAACTATACACAGCAAAAGATATATACCACTTCAACAAATTCTCCATGTACAATTCATTGACATTGTTTTGTTGTTGTTGTTGTTATGTGCCACCGAGTCAGTTCCTACTCATAGCGACCCTAATTACCACAGAACAAAACACTGCCTAGTCCTGTGCCATCCTCAGAATGCTTGAGCCCATTGCTGCTGCCAATGTGCTAATCTGTCTTGTTGAGGTCTTCCTCTTTTTTGATGAACCTCCATTTACCAAGCATGATGTTTTTCTCTAGGGACTGGTGCCTCCCAATAATATGCCCAAAGTATGAGGGACAATGTTTAGCTATCCTGACTTCTAAGGAGCATTCTAGCTATACTTCTTCCAACAAAAATTTGTTTGTTCTTGTGGCAGGCAATGGGACTTTTCATATTCTTTTCCAACACCATAACTCAAATGCATCCATTTTTCTCTGAAAATTCCTTACTCATTGTCCAACTCTTACATGTATATGAGGCAATTGAAAATACCATAGCTTGGATCAGGCACACTTTAGTCCTCAAACTGACATCTTTGTTCTTGAACACTTTAAAGAGGTCTTGCGCAGCAGATTTGCCCAACGCAGTAAATCTTTTGATTTCTAGACTGCTGCTTTCATGAATGTTGTAGATCTAAGCAGAGTGAAATCTGTGACAACTTTTAATCTTTTCTCCATTTATTGATATTTCTTGCATTGTTCAAATTTTGTATCCATTCTTGTTATCTTTTTCCAAATTATACCACTAGTAATAACATAAACTCACTGCCCCTAAGCTGCTCATCTAATCTTTCAAGATGGTCTTGTCAGTTTGTTTCCACAAAGAGTACAATGCCCAAGACACACATAATTGAATAATTAATATAAATTATTGTTTGATTCAAGGTAGACTTTGGCTTGAAGTGTAAGATGATGCAGAGTCCTTTTAAATCTTTACAATCACCTTGTTTAGTAAATTTTGCAGATGAGGAAGCTAATATTCACAAAGGTTGAACAAAAGCCACAAAGATTAGGTATCATTGTTCAACATCACATGCTTCATTTGTAGCAGAACCAGGGCATAAATTCATGTCTGTTTTAGACATTATCCCATAATGTTTTTCTTCACTTCATTGGACGGTTTCAAAAAACATCATAATACAGTTATTTACTATGAAGTTCATTAACTAATATCATGTTTTCATAGCTTTTCTTCTTGCTAGCTACTTAAAACTGAATAAAAAGTGTTTTTTTGTTGTTAAATGCCATCAAGTCCGTTCCGAGGGTCAGCTTGAACCACCAACTTTGTGGTTCAGACCAACTTTGCAGTCCAGCACATTAACCCACAGCACCACACCAGGTACCTTGCTGTATATTTATGAGCTACGGTATAGGAGCCCTGGTGTGGCACTGTAGGATAAATAATGGACTACTAACCACAAGGTCAGTGGTTCAAACCCACCAGCTGCTCCTTGGGAACCCTATACAGGCTCATGATGAATCAGAACCGACTCAATGGCACCTAACAATAACAGTATGCATATGAAGGACTATATTCACTAAAACTATTGTCTTATTTATGAGGTGAAAGCAGAAAGCCAATCCTGGAAGATCATTTTGGCTTAGCAGAAATAACCCAGACTTTTGGGTGTTCTTTTGCCATTTACTAGCTTTGGACTCCTAAGCAAATTATTTAATATTTCTTGAGCCAAAATACAGTTTTCTGTAAGGTGGGGGTGGGGATTTGTTGTGCTCATTATTATTACTAATACAGATTAACAAACAGTGCCATTTTTTCCTCCTTTATTTTGCTATTTAGAAAGAACTAAATACCCGAGATGGAGCTTGGGAAAAAATATGTGGTGAACAGGATCCTTTCATCCTATGCAGTTTGATGTGGTCTTGGGTGGAACAACTTAAGGAACCTATAATAACCAAAGAAGATATGGTCATGTTGATTGACAGGCACACAGATGCTGCCGACGCACTATTCTCATTAGAGAAGGTAAAGTAACAGTTGTACTAGTAAATGAGTTTGTGAGGCCCTCAGTATAAGTTTCTCATACAAAAAAAGCCCACTACAAAATGGGAATTTGTATAGGACCCCACTTTGTGGGTGGTTCCATGGAGTTGGCTTCAACTCATAGCAACCCTGTGCTCAACAGAACAAAATACTGCCTGGTCCTGAACTGGCCCTCACAATTGTTATATTTGAAGCCATTGTTGCTACCACTATGTCAGTCCATCTTGTTGGGGGTGGCAGTCTTCCTCTTTTTCGCTGACCCTTCACTTTTCCAAGCATGCTGCCCTTCTCCAGGGACTGGTACCTCCTGACAACCTGTCCGAAGTATGAAAGGCGAAGTTTCACCATTCTGGCACCTAAGGAGCATTTTGTCTATACTTCTTTTAACACAGATTTGTTTGTTCTTCTGATGGTCCATGGTACTTTTAATATTCTTCTCCAACACCATAACTCAAATGTATCAATTCTTTACTCATTGTGTAACTTTCACATGCAAATGAGGCTATTGAAAAACCATGGCTTAGGTTATACACACCTTAGTCCTCAAACTGACATCAGTGCTTTGGATACTTTAAAGAGATCTGTATTATATTTGCCTAAAGTAATACAAATTGAAATCTTTCAAGAAAGTGAGGCAGCACAAGAGGCACTCACTCATCTCTGCCAAGAAATTTGGAAGACAACTATCTGGCTGACTGATTGGAAGAGATCCATATTTGTGCCCATTCCAAAGAGAGGTGACCCAACGGAATGCAGAAATCATCAGACAATCTCTTTGATATCTCAAGTGAGTAAAGTTTTGCTAAAGGTAATACAGAAACGGCTACAATCATACATTGACAGAGAACTTCCAGAAGTTCAAGCTGGATTCAAAAAAGGCCGTGGGACAAGAGATATCATTGCTGATGTCCAATGGATCTTGGCTGAAAGCAGAGAATATCAGAAAGATGTTTACCTATGCTTTATTGACTACACAAAGGCTTTCGATTGTGTGGATCATGACAAACTCTGGACAACATTGATAAATATGAGTATTCCAGAACACTTAATTGTACTTCTGAGAAATCTGTATCTGGACCAAGAAGCAGTTGTTAGAGCATGGGAACACTGAATGTTTTAAAATTGGGAAAGGTGTGCGACAAGGTTGTGTTCTTTCAACGTACTTATTCAACCTGTATGCTGAGCAAATAATACGAGAAGCTGGGTTCTATGAAGAAAAACATGGCGTCAGGATTGGAGGAAGACTCATTAACAACCTGCGATATGCAGATGATACAACTTTGCTTGCTGAAAGTGAAGAAGACTTGAAACATTTACTGATGAAGATCAAGGAACGCAGCCTTCGGTATGGATTGCATCTCAATGTCAAGAAAACAAAAATCCTCACCACTGGACCAATAAACAACATTCTTATCAACAGAGAAAAGATTGAAGTTGTCAAAGACTTCGTTCTTCTTGGATCAACCATCAACATTTGCGGAAGCAGAAGTCAAGAGATCAGACGACGTACTGCATTAGGCAAATCTGATGCATGGGAACTTTTTAAAGTGTTGAAGAGCAAAGATGTGAGCTTGAGAACTAAGGTGTGCCTGACCCAAGCCATGGTATTTTCAATAACCTCATATGGATATGAAAGCTGGACGGTGAGTAAGGAAGATCATAGAAGAATTGATGCCTTTGAGTTGTGGTGTTGGAGGAGAATACTAAAAGTGGCATGGGTTGCCAAAAGAACCAATAGATCTGTTTTGGAAGCAGTGCAGCCAGAGTGTTTCTTGGAGGCCAGGATGGCTAAACTTCGTCTCTCATACTTTGGACATATTGTCAGAAGGGAACAGTCACTGGAGAAGGATGTCATGCTGGGTAAGGTGGAGGGTCAGAGAAAAAGAGGAAGACCCCCAACAAGATGGATCAGCCAGGTGGCATCAGTGATGGTGTCAAATGTGGCGGCAGTAGTGAGGTTGGCCCAGGATCGGACATTGTTTCATTCTGCTGTGCATGGGTTCGCTATGAGTCGGTTCCGACTCGATGGCACCTGACAACAACAACAACAAATGTTTTTTATTGTGAATTGGTTTTTGATTGTGAATTGAAGTAAAATGTAGTTTTTGACGACTTCAAGTTGTGTAAACCTCCTTTTTAATTTGTATATTAGTGAAATATCTTTAGAAGGAAGAATAAGAAACTAGTAAATAGAGGTTGCCTTTAGGGAATTTTATATTTTTATAGAGAGATATTAAATTTTCATTTAAAACTTGGCTTTATTTTTGAGAAAACGGTGTCATCTAATAATGGTGCTCATAGTGGTTATGAAACAGGCTGTGAACCTTAAGGTCAGCAGTTCCAACCTACCAGCTGTTCCATGGGAGAAAGATGAGGCTTTCTGCTCCCATAAAGATTTACAGCCTCAGAAATCCTATACAGGGTTGCTATGAGTCAGAACTGACTCCACGGCACATAACCACCACCACCAGGATAAACACTGGGCTGCAAGGTCTCTTGGAACCACAAGGTTAGCTGTTCAAACATACCAGCCACTCCTCATAAACCCTATTAGGCGGAATAGACTCAAAGGCACTTAACAACAACAATAACCTGCTTTGAATTACATACTATGCTTCAGTGTCAACATCACCTCCTCATTGTTTCCATTGTTTTGTTTTTTAGATTATGCCCTTAATGTAGATTTCTGAAGATGAAATTATTAGGTCAAAGGGTATGATTTTTTTTTTCCCCTGAGGCCTTTGATATGTATTGCTCAAGGTGATGGAATGTCTCCTTTGTTTCTCTAAAGGGAACCAGTCCCCTGGGAGTCAAATCAGAATCCTAAGGATTCACTTTCTCCTTTAGACTAAGCCTGCTTTCTTGGATGCCTGCATGCTCCTAGAGGGCTGGGATTGCCTCTCTTCTCGTACTCCACTTCCCTCCATAACATCGGGAACAGGGTTGGGCACACAAGTACTGAAGGTTAAGTGCCCCACTGGCCATCTGTGTATCACCATGACATTTCAGCCTCTAAGTAGCCTAAATGATTACATCCAGAAGCAGCAGAATGAAAAAAAACCAGTCAGTTCATTGCATGAAAAATATTTGATTATAAAATAATACAGATATTAAGATTCATTAATGGTGGTGGTGGTTATGCGCCATCAAGTTGGTTCCAACTCAGAGACCCAGTGTAAGGTTTCCAAAGCTATAAATCTTTACAGGAGCAGGAAACCTCATCTTTCACCCATGGAGTGACTAATTAATTTGAACTACTGATTTGCAATTAGCAGCCCAGCTTGTAATTCACTATACTACTAGGGCTCCTTAAGATTCATTAGTATTTCTGCTTAATTACTAACCAGATTCTATATAGATTATCTCTTACAAGCTTTTCAAATTATACTAACATATAACCATACACTTTTGATATCACTCTTGGTAGGTATTTTAACATTTGAGATTATGAGTATTTTTCTCACATTAATTTCTGGGTTTGCAGTTACTTTGAGTGTATTTCCTGAGGCATTTTTCCAACAACTTGTATGGTTTTGATTTCTGCAAAAACAGGGACAGCACCAGACAATTCTTTGCGTTTTACATTGCATAGTGAATCTGCAGACAATTCCTATGGATGTGGAGGAGGCTATCCTAGCCCAGGCTATTAAAGCTTTCACTAGGGTGAGTAGCACGCTTTTTTGCCCCTTCCAGATTCCAGAGGCCACCAGTCTTCCCTAAGATAAAACTCTAAGTTAGGGTGGTGCAATGACTAAGCACTACTAACCAAAAGGTAAGTGATTAGCCCACCCAGCAGCTCCATGGAAGAAAGAATACAACATAAAAATTCTATGGGGCAGTTATGCTCAATCACGTGAAGGTCGATGTCAGTTGAAATTGACAACAGCATGTTTCCATAATAGAAATATGTTTGACATATCTTGAAAGTACTGGAGTAAGTCAAAAAGCATTGCTACTAGGGTTCCACTTGATACACACATGGGTTTGTTCCAAACAAAACATCTTTAAATATTCTCTGCAATCAGTGGATGGCTGTAGGCAAGTTCTTTCAGTAATACACTGATCATAGTCCTGTTGTTGTTGTTAAGTGCCATCAAGTCTATTCCGACCCATAGCGACCCTGTATAGGGTTTCTGAGGAGTGGCTGGTGAGTTTGAACCAAAGACCTTGAAGTTCTAATGGCTTTGCAGCCTGGTACATTAACCCACAGTGCCACACCAGGACGCTATAGTCCTGTTGTTGTTGTTGTTGTTGTTGTTGTTGTTGTTGTTGTTGTTAGGTGCCATCCAGTCGGTTCCAACTCACAGTGACCTTATGCACAGCAGAACGAAACACTGCCCAATCCTGAGCCAACCTCACTATTGTTGCCACATTTGAGTCCATTGATGCTGCTATTTTACCAATCCATCTTGATGGAGTCTTCCTCTTTTTCTCTGACCCTCCACCTTACCAAACATGATATCCTCCAGTGACTGGTCCCTCCTGACAATATGTCCAAAGTATGAGAGATGAAGTTTGGCCATCTTGGCCTCCAAGGAGCACTCTGGCTGCACTTCTTCCAACATAGATATGTTGGTTCTTTTGGCAGCCCTTGGCACTTTCAATATTTTCTTCCAACACTATAACTCAAAAGCATCAGTTCTTCTATGGCTTTTCTTATTCACTGCACAGCTTTCATGTGCACATGAGGTTATTGAAAATACCATGGCTTGGGTCAGGTGCACCTTAGTCTTCAAGCTGACATCTTTGCTCTTCAACTCTTTAAAAAGATCTTGTGCCGGAGATTTGCCTAATGCAATATGCCATTTGATTTCTTGACTGCTGTTTCCATTAGTGTTGATAGTTGATCCAAGAAGAATGAAGTCCTTGACAACTTCAGTCTTTCCTCCGTTAATAAGAATGTTGTTTATTGGTCCAGTGGTGAGGATTTTTGTTTTCTTTACATTGAGCTACCACTCATCTGTCAGTTTGTCGTACTGTGGTGGCTTGTGAGTTGCAGTGATTCTGAAAGCTATGCCACCGGTATTTTAAATACCAGCAGGGTCACCCATGGTGGACAGGTTTCAGATGAGCTTCCAGATGAAGACAGACTAGGAAGAAGGCGTGACGAACTACTTCTGAATATTTAGTCACTGTTATGGTGCCTTTTTTAAAAAAGGACACTTTTTGTGCCATACAAAAAACTATTTTGAGGTCAGGGTTAATATAAAATTTAATTATTGAAGCTTTGCATCAAGTTTACAGAAATGCTGCCCCACATAAAACATTTGTAGGTAGATCAAGCCAAGACTGTCAACCTCGACAAATGAAGAAACTGTGGCTGAAGTCCAGAAACCAGTGGAAGAAGACTAAAGAATTACCATTGATTTGATAGCTACTTAAGTCTGGGATCTCAAATGGTTTGGCATTTCCAATTCTAAGTGAATGTCTTAGCTTCAACAAGCTTTCAGCTCCATGGGTGCCTAAACCATTGCACAAAGATCATTTAACTCAAAAAACTGAACGTCCATCAATCTTTAAAGTTAGAAGCCAATGAAGATGATCTTATGGAACAAATTATACATGGAGACAAGTCTTGGATTTACCAATACAACCCAGAGAGCAAGTTCCAATCAAGACAGTGACTTCCAGGGGAATCTGCTAGGCCACTAAATTCAGGGCAGAGAGGTCAGCTCAGAAGGTTTTGTCACTTTTGGGGAGAATTCCAAAGGGCTAATCTTGATATGTTTTTCTCAAAAGAAATAGAACAATCCTGAGTGCTTATTATGAAGAAATTTTAAGAAAATTGAAAACTGCATTGATGATCAAAAGACAAGGACTGTTTCACCACATAGTCCTTGTGGGGAAACAATACACCTGCTCATTCTTTGAGGGTAGCAAGGATTTTCCTATTAGAATTTCGTTGGGAAACCTTACTCTATTTACCTTATAGCCCTAATCTTGCCCCTTTAGACTTCTTTTTCCCAAAGTCTTTTTAAATAATGTGCTATTAGAAGCCAGAGACTCTTTTCTTGTTCTGCCTTGGGTTTAAACAAGTAACCATCTATTGAAAACAACCTTCAACATTTGGTTTTGTGTCCTGGTTGGCAAATCCTAAACAAAGAATGAAAACCATTTCCTTTTCATGAATATCCTTTTGGCTTATAGGAATCTCCCCTTGCTAAAGAGAGAAGTCAGGTTCATGCCAAGAGAAAAAATTTCCCTCAGCCCTAATTTATTTGGTAACACTCATATGTGAAATAAAAATGTGTTTGCTAAGGAGATAACAAAGTTATTGAATGACAGTGTCAATGGCAAATATTAATGATAATAATAATTATTTGTACTCCTTCACAAATCTGAAGTTTTACTATTTGTCTAATCTTTCCCCTCTACTCTTCCAAAGTGATATCCATAGAAACAAGGTCCTTCTTCTTTCTGTTCTGAAATTTTTTTTTAAATTACACTGTTAAAAATGAAATATGATTTCTACAAAATAAAAGAGTTATCTTCAGATTCAAAGATTTATAAATCAGGAAGTGCTAAAATGAAAGTTGAAAATTATGTTCCAAAAAGGGAGCATAAATTATTGTCTTTTATATGCAATTTTGCAGATCTTTATAAAGAGCTGGGGATACATTTGATTAATTGCCATTCAGCATGCACTCATGAAGCTCACATACCAAAAATATCTGTTGGCTGGGATACTCAACCTTAGCCATAGTTTCCAGTATACTGAAGCTGGTTCCTTCTGTTTCTAGCAATATTCTGCATGGACCACCTCAGAATGTTGCAGGATACACTGTCTTTCTACATTTATTATAGTTTACAAAAACACAAATTATATGATCCAAAAAATGTGTGTTTACATTTTCATAGACTAAACTATCTATTGTGAGAGGAATTTATATTTTAGTGTTTAAGAAAATAAACAATTAAAACTTACTAAAAATTAATTTTTACAAATGCTTAGACAATAGTTAAGATAAAATTAAAGTTCTCATTTAACTGAAAAAAAATACACAACATTATTTAATTGAAAGCAGTAGGAATTCTTTACAACTACTATTGACTTATTAAGGGGATATTAGTAAAAGGTTAGATATGAGAAAGTTAGGAGACATTTCTACGTTGACCTCTCACCTTTTGGCTAGTCTTACGAGCAGAGGCATTGATAGCTTATTTTTCCAGACTAGTTCTTCCAAGATGTTTGTGTTATGTCTGTCTCCAGAGCAGAGGACAGATTATATATTTGCTGTCCTTTATAATAACAGTAATGTTTCCCTTTGGAGCCAAGGTTGAGCAGATTTGCTTGTAGCCATCTTGTCATAGTTATCTCATGCTGCTATAACAAATATCACAAGTAGATGGCTTTAACAAGCAGAAATTTATTCTCTTACAGTTTGTTCTTATTACATGCCTTGGAGTCAGAGTAGGTGCCAACTCATAGTGACCCTGTATAGGGTTTCCAGGAACAGCTGGTGGGTTTGAACCACCAACCTTGGGGTCAGCCATGCAGTGCTTATCCTACAGTGCCACACCAGGACTCTTAGCAGTTTGGGAGGTTAGAAACCTAAATTCAGGGCCCCAACTCCAGGGGAAGGCGTTTTCTCTAGTCAGCCCTGGGGACAGGTCCTTGTAATTAATCTACCCCTGGTTTTAGGCATTTCTCAGCCCAGAGACCTCAGGTCCAAATGATGCTCTTTATTCTCAGATCTTCTTTCTTGGTGGTAAGAGGTCTCTCTCTTCTCTGGGGAACTCCCCTTACATAAGATCAAGGCTACTCCTCTCAGAACTGATTAACTTACCACATTAGATCACATCATGGAAGATCCTTACATAACTGCCAGCCCCCTGAGAATCATGCCTAGCCAAGTTGACACACATTTTAGGGGAACACAATTCAATCCATGGCACCCCTTATAAAATTAGGGCTCCTCAGCTGTGATTCAAATCTATTGAATATAAGGAGTCACCAGGGTCTGCCTAAATGTCACCCCTATGAGACTGAAGGCAAAGCAGGGGATTAAGATGAACAAGAATCTCACTATGCCTGTTGCACCATGAATAATAAAGTCATTTGTCTCCAACCTAGTAATCTCATGTCTTCTGCCAGTACCCACAAAGTTTCAATGGCCTAACTTGTTAACTTGCAAGTAGGGTAAATCTTGGATCTTTCACAGTTCATGACAAAGGGAACAACAACCTTCTTATTGAAGAAAGAAGGATTCCAGGAGGAGAGAAGCACTGACCAAGTGATCCCAATTATTTCTCAAGAGTCACAGGTTACTTGGAGCATGGAGTTGGGGAGAAGCATGGGAATTGTTTTGGTTCTTTGTTCCACCATCACTCTTAACTTAACCTCAGAGTATGGTGAACTTTAAGGAGTAATCCAAATTATATTTATGTAATGCATTGGACCACAAGATTGGTTTGAACTATAAGGTTGGTAGTTCAAACTCACCAGTCACTCATTGGAAACCCTATACAGCATCACTATGAGTCAGAACCAACTCGACGGCGCTTAACAGCAACGTACCTGTTACCTCCCTACCGAGAAGAATGGAAGCTAACTTTGGTTGAGTTTTTTGTATGTGCCAAACATACATCAGACTGTGAAGCCATTTGAGCTGCAAGCTCACCAGCTACTCCTTGGAAACCCTATGCAGGGTCGCTATGGGTCG